TTTAGATGGGTCTCGACTGATTGCACGAATTTTGAACTTATCAGACATGTTCTCCTTCACGTAGGAGACGACGGAACTGCCTTGTTGACCAGTGGCCCCAAAAACAACTAAGACTTTGCTCATTTTTAAAATTTGCACCCTATTAACAAGTAATAATTATCAACTTTTAATACAATTAAAAATACTTTTTCCTTAGAAAACCCATTCAATATAAATATTCTTGTTTAAATATTTAAGAATATATGCATTATTCTATTCTAGATTAGCAAGTATACCCCTAATAAAATAGCTAGCCTGACTATTCTCGGTTATTTGCAAGGAAATATGACATTGATTATATAAGCTTCACTAGTTTAAAATGCTATTGACTTCGCCTTGACTCAATTAGTATCAAACTTTAACTTTTTACTGTGTTGCTAGGAACTCTTTGCATGCTCCGAATACATGAGATAAAAGAAGTAAAGTCATGTCTGCCTATGTTGGTGGTAGGTGAAGTGACACAAAATTACGAAGAATGCTTTAAATTAATCAATTCGCGGACAGTGCTTGCGTTTGATGCAACCTTCCGTGAACTCTAAACCAGTCCTTTTCCACAATATTCCTTGAAAGTAAGGGAATATTATAGCCTGGAAACGATCCTGTGAGAAGAATCTAATTTCTGATTGCGAGTGTTAAGTGAGAAGCAACAAGTTTGTAACCTTAGTTGCAGCTCAACATTGCCAATCAGCTAGTTTGCCTAAACATTTTAGTTTTCAATTTAATCTGTTATTTCCTTCAACAATAATCTATAATTTTAACCAAGCTCTTCTGTTCTCTTCATTACTACTCATGTTTGTTCGCTGCGTTTTTGTCTCATCATCTGGTTACGTCGTTGCAACCTCACTTGCATACTGTTCGACGCGATATTACACAAACATAATTCTAAACATTTCAACAGTACTATTAGACTATCCAATGATCCTTGTCTATCCATGAACAGTAGAATAAACCAATATTCTTCCAAAAACCCTAACTCATCACAATCCGCTACTAATCTTCAGGATTTGAACAACTCAAAGCAGCAGTTTCTGCGATATCATGACCCTAGATCTCCCCAAGAAATGATGAGATCGTCTAAACTGGAGAATGACTTTATGAATAGAGACAATCGGGACCGTAGCTCTACTATGAACTCGATTGACAGTCTCAATATCAACTCAATTGAAAATACTAAAATGTACAAAACTCACACCGATCAAGATGATATAAAAGAACTAATTAATGAAACCCCTGCAAATACCAAAAGTCCTACTTGGCTATTAAGTGATATCCTACAATCATTTAGTAGTATAAGAGATAAAGATGAATACCAGATCGTCTCAAAAGGAAATGAACTAGTATCAATCCTCATAAAACATCCCCATTTAAAGAACGATATAATCCTCAAGAACTTTTTAAATAAAATTCAATTCATGCTTTACCACGATGTATCAGAAGTTAGAGCTGTGGGCTATCGTATTATACGATACATTATATCTGATTACGAATCTTTAACAATCTTAATTCAATCAAAGATCTTAATATTTATAATAATATCCTTGTCCACGAATTCCTCGTTGCTAGAAAAAGAGCAGGCCCTTAAGTTAATCAGAGAATTTTTGAACATCCCGAAGGGAACAGATAATCTATCTATTGGTGTTATTAAAAGTCTCATAGCGATAATTGAGATTAATGAGCCGATGACTAATATAACTGAAAACTTCAAGAAAATATGCATCGAAACAATTTGTGAGATAGCATTATTGAGGCCCGAGTTAGTTTTTCACAGTAGTGGGTTCAATGTTATCATTGAAACTGTAATCGAAGATGATTCAGTCGAGCTATCTGGTAATTGCCTCCTTGTTCTTATAAAAGTGCTAGACTCAGAGAATACTCGAAAATTCTTAAGAAATGGCCATGATTTGAACTCATTGGTATCAGCATTCTCGAACATTGATCCAAGTGAAGAGGACAGAAATATTCCTAGTTTCAAATTACAAAAGGCTGCTTTCCTGCTCTCAATTATATTGAAGAACTGGAACGGTTTAATGAGCTTTTCTCATAATAATTTTGAATGTATTAAAGATTTAATATGTAATTTAAAGAAGAAAAGCCCTAAATTACGAGATATAATTATGGAAATTTTACTAGACTTGTTAAGAATCGAAATGTTTCCTTGGTTAAAGTCGTCTAGCATCGGTGATGTAATCCATAGCTTTAATAATTATGGCAACAATTCTAACTTTACCTTTGAGTACGACGAAATAAGCCCCGAAAGCTTTGAGTTTAACATTATAAACCACTATTTGGGTTTAATTATAGCTATTTTAATTAACCATGGTATTATCGATCTCTTGATTGAAGTCATCGAAGAAAATTCAAATGAATCGAATACGAAAAAGGCAACAAAACTAGTCACCCATATATACTCAATGGCTAATAATTTTCTTCCTGATGAATTGCTTCACGACAAACTTTTATTATCATCTTTGCGTAAGGAATACCTGGAACTTTCGTCAACCTTTAAGATTTGGCAGTCGACCCGAAAATCAAATCAATTAACTCAGGCTTCGGGGTTCGATCCTTCAAATCAATCATCGAAGAAATTAAGGTTGTATATCAAGAATGTTAGCATAGGCTCAAGGTACAACATAGATGACCTAGAATTTAAAAATATGGTTACTAACATCAGAATTTTAACCATCAAAGAGTTCGAGGATTGGAATTGGAATCTATTATTCAGCTTTATCCAGGGCCCTTTACGGAATCCTAGAAGATTCGATGAAATTCTAGAAAAGAATCCTAAATTCTTAAAGAGATTGATGTCATTTTATAGACCCTTTAAGTTTCGGTTCTGCAATATGCCAATTACTCACAAAAATTTCAAAATGTATATAAATATTGGTTGTCAGTTATTGGAAACCTATTTGACTTTAAACCATGGTATAAAATATTTATCGTCTAACAAATTGTTGCCACAATTATCAGAAATATTTGCACAAGTGGATCCATATAGTGGGATTGTTGCAAAAGAACCCATCTTGTCTAAAAAGAGACTTGAAAATACATTAAGCATTGGTTACCTCAAATTTATTGGTATCTTATCAGCAAATACTTATGGTCTCAAAATGTTAGAACAATGGCAGTTCATTAACTTGTTCCATAATATAATAGAGGGAAGTCGAGATTCCGAGTCTAATAATTATTTAATAATAAATCTATTGAACAGCTTAGACTTCACTATCGATAGTCAATTGAGAATTGTTTTATCAAAAGCAATTTGTATATCCAATTTAAAGGTACGCAATTTTATTATTGACAGCATAATTTCGAAATTGATAAAAGTCAAGGAATGTGAACACTTTGTTATCAAGTTATTAGTGAACCAGATATATGACATTGATCTGGAAATTTCAGATAAATCAATTAATTTATTATACGAATGTTATTTGAGTAATGATATTAATATTTTAAATCTTATCATACGCTTGAGACCTTCAATAGTAATTTTATCGAAACATGCAAGCGGGAAGATGTTATTGATGAATTTTATGAAAACATCAATAGGTTTCAAGTTCTTGGAGGATTCAGGGTTTATCGATGCAGAGTTTGATAAATGGATAAATCTAATCGGGTATGAATATGTCAGAAAGATTGAACTTTTGTTGCAAAGGAGGTTTTTCCCATATGTATCCTCTATAAGCCCCGACGAGAAACTTCCAGTTCATTTCTTCAATTATTTGTTACAAACAGAAGAAGGTTTAATGTATTTCCAAACTCTTAAGCAAAGAAATTATTTAGAGAACTTGATTTCAAATATTGAGCTGATTTCGTCGAAGATAGCTGAAGCTAACAATGATGAAATATCCGTAGACGACTGGGACGAAGAAGAAGATCAAAGCAAGCTAATATATAAGCTAAAACAAAACTTGTGGATTATTGGGAGTATAGCATCGGCAAAGTACGGAATTCAATTATTGGATACAGCTTACACCAACATGGATAAGTCAGTTGTTTCAATGATTCTAAATTTGTTCTATAATTCACCCAGTTGGCAAATAAGAGGGATTTCTTTCTATGTAATTGGAAGCATTGCATCGACTATTGAAGGGATTGAGATTTTAGATGAATTGAATTGGTATTCAGTTCTAGATAAGTATAACAACCCAATGAAATTAAGTTACCCTAAAGATCTTTATTCTAAGGATATCTTCAACATTGAAATTAATAATCCGTATCGAGATATTAAATACTATTCATTATTTAGTGGAGGTGATGAGAATTTGGAAACTGGTAAGTTATTTGGTGATATTGAGGATGAAGAGTTTTTCGATCATGAAAAGATTTATGAAAAGATTTTGAACCTCGTAAAACATTCAAGCTCTGTATTGAATAGGATAGCCAGGAAGGCAACCAAACAATTAACGTTCATTAAGAAAAATTCTCCTTCAGTGTTTGAGAATATAAGTCTTTTTTTGAAAATAATTAAATTAGTTGATAGAGGAAGTTATAAATTTAGCATTAGAATGTTTATATTCGAACTATTTTTAGACACTAAGGTTTTAGAGAATCTAGTGAAAAAGGATAGAAAGAATATTAATATCAAATAAGTATATAATAATATTAAAATTCTTATTTTTTAGGTTTTTTAGATTGTGGATCTTCATCATTTTCATCTTCTTTCGACAGTTTTCGTTTCCTTTTAGTCGCTGTGGTTGATCCAGTGTCAATGGTTTCTTTAAATTTATTACCACTTATTTTTAATGGTTTGTATTTGGATATCACCAAGTTCGGATAGTGTCTCCTTACCCAAGGCTCAATATCTTGGGGGTTAAGTTCAAAACTACTCATATCATCATTGATCAAATCGGGTATTGCTTCGTTAACAAAGAGATTAATTTTATGTGTTTCTTTGAATTGTTGATCGGGGTCGTCAATTGTTAACAACGGGCCCAATACTTTTTGTAATTTCGGATTCATTGCTATTAAGTTCTCTATTCTTGATTTGTCTTCATCAGGCAAGGCTTGGTCAGTGGCTGGCGCTATAGATTCTTTCGATTCAAATTTATCTAGTAAATCAATCAATGCATTATTCCTTCTTTGGTAAAAGTTTAAAGTTTGTCTTTGCGATATTTCATTCTGAAATAATTTCTGTGACACTGAGTATACTCTGTAGAATCGATCTTGATACTTTTCAAATAATTTGGCATAGTCCTTATTGGACGCACTTGGATCTTGTGTATTGTCTATATATCCTTGTTCAAATTCAGGGTCTGAATCATCGTTTTCTTCTTTGACATGATCATTCTCATGCTCATGATCGTTTACTGCCTCTTTTTCATCTTCGTTGTTGTCTTCTGTTTGGTGTTTGTTGGATTCTTCATCTGCGTGGTTAGGATCTAATTTACTATGCACTTCTAGTTCATTATTCCCATTTGCTGGCTTAATCTGTTCCTCAGGTACATTCTTATCACCTGCCATTTCTGTATTTCTCTCCACAGATATATCTGATATTTCTAGCTAATTAACCTTCAACAATATATCCATCATAAAACAGTAGCGATATGGGAATAAATATGTCGCAGTGATAATTTCGTAATGTCGCAAACCTATCAACGCGTCTACGTTATAATTTTATGTATTCAAGAGATTATATGATATACAGATATACAGATTGGAGAATAGTATCAAGATGTCAATTGTATCGTTACTAGGAATTGAAGTTTTGAATAACCCAGCCAAATTTACAGACCCATATGAATTTGAAATTACTTTTGAATGCTTGGAACCCTTGAAAGAGGATTTAGAATGGAAATTGACATATGTTGGGAGTTCGAGATCCTTGGATCACGACCAGGAATTGGATTCTATATTGGTTGGACCTGTACCTGTTGGTATAAATAAGTTTTTGTTTCAGGCAGATCCGCCGTCTCCTGAATTAATTCCAGCGAGTGAATTAGTGAGTGTAACAGTTATATTGTTAAGTTGTTCATACGCAGATAGAGAGTTTGTAAGGGTTGGATACTATGTTAACAATGAATATGACTCTGAAGAATTAAGAGAAAACCCTCCAGCTAAGGTGCAAGTTGAACATGTGGTTAGAAATATACTCGCCGAGAAACCTAGAGTTACTAGATTTAATATAGTTTGGGATAATGAAGATGGTAATGCAGATGAATATCCTCCTGAACAACAAGTAGACGAAGAAGAAGAAGAAGAGGAAGAGGAAGAAGAAGAAGAAGAGGAAGAAGATGAAGGAGTAGAAGGCGAAGATGGTGAAGATGGTGAAGATGGTGAAGATGGTGAAGAAGGCGAAGACGTTGAAGAAGCAGTGGAGGTCGAGGAAAATGGAAATAAAGAAGCCAACAAGGAAGAAGATATTGAGGAGGACATTGAGGAAGATATTGAAGAAGATATCGAAGAAGATATTGAGATCGAAGATGAAGAAGAAGCGAAGAATACTGATCAAGGTGAAACACCAATAGATAAAGTTCAAAGCTAAAATGTATAATTAGTTTAATAGATAATTCATTATCATATATATTTATTGATATATAAATATATTTATAGTTCGTTAACAAGGGTAATTTAATGATATTTATTGTTTATGGTTTTCAATAATTGAATTCAATGATTGACTTAAACTATCTATGACTTCTTTGTTTATAACTAAATTCTCCTTTGGAAGATGCAGACGTAATTTGGAAATCCATTTATCGGGATGCCATTTTAATCTTTCCTTTTTCAATAGGTCGAGTACGCTTTCGTTATCATCCACGATATATTCGTAGAAAGAAGATACTGGCTGTCTATCGTTAATAAGCTTCACAATTTGTTCAGTTGAAATAGAATTCCCTCTAAACATTGCCAATAATGGTAACTTTAATTGAGATATATCTGATGTGTGAAATGATTGGAAATATTGGTTCCTAATATCTATTCGTTCTTGATTAGTATTACTTTCATTCACAATTTGTAAATATGGGTCGTTGATCCTCTTGTCACCAACGTGTATATCGACTTCGGCCTCATCCATAAGTCCAGCCGAAGACATAGGCAAATTGCCTACAATTTTATACTTTCCGTTATTTAAATCAACCGCGGAGTGAGTATCATATTCATTTCTATTATAAGAACTTTTCAATTCTTGGGATCTAAGAATCTTATTCGTTGGAGTTTGGTAGTTATAATATGCATGTTGGGGTTTTCTCAATGGTTTCACAAACTTGTATCCATTGATAGAATCTCCAAATTCATCCATTATCGGTAATTGTGGGGAATGGCTAGGGGTTGGAGGTCTTGAATTGGCAGGGGTTGACTGAGAAATGGGGGTTGATTGAACATGCGGATTCGAATTGACAGTCGTGTTGAGTGTAGACGATTGATGAGGTGAAGATATCAACGAATTTTTTGGCAAATAATCGTCATCATCATCTTCGTCATCCTCATCGTCATGGGTCCAATCGTCATTATCGTGATTTTTCATGGCACTTAGCTTATTCATTACTGGGTTCTGCGGTACCAATGTCTTTATTGAATTCTCAAAGTTCAAGAGATTCTTCACCTTTGAGAGCTTGGTTTGTGAGGGCGTTTGCTGCTGACTTGGGGAGTCTTTGAACTTCAACTTCGACTTCTTACGCGGCTGCACCGGACATGGGGTGGAGTCGCTATTGGAAAAGCTGAGCTTGAACGTATTGTTGGTCGAATTGTTCAAACATATCGACATATCGCTGCGCACAGACGTATTCGTCGTAGATGCTTGACGAGGGGTCTCCATATCTATATCCAGCGGCGAGTCCAAAGGCCTTTTACGTCTATTCACATACTTGGGCGGCTGGCGCCCACTACCAGTACTATCCGATGGGGTCCCACCAGTGGCCCCACCACTCGCATCTTCGTAATCTTCTCTATACCCCGGAGCATATTCATCATCGGTATCCGATTCTCCCACAATTGTTTGATTTCCAAAATCGTCGTGATTCTCCTGTCCGTCCAAGTCCAACTCGGACTCCAAATGCAAATTATTCAACTTCTTCATAGGAGACAGAAACAACACCGATATGTCGCCTGCTCCACGCCCAACAGGGGTCTTACCCGTTTTCAACGGCGTCGAAGCCCCTGCCATATCAAAATCAAACGACGAATTTACCAAGCTCTCATTTTCCGAGTCGTCATGGTTTCTATTGTTGTACCACTTGAGTGGTGCCACCTCCATCCGCTTGCTGGGCGTGCTGCTGTGCGTATTTGTATGGCCCATCATATATCTTCAATGTACGTACCGGCACCTAAAATGTCCTGGCGATATCATGCACTTGAAATAGAAGCACTAATAATCTGAGATGTACGGGGGAGTGTCTTTTGGTCCTTCTGCAATGATGCTAAATGGAGACCTATGTTCATCTGATGGGTGTTTGTTTTGATTTCTGAAGGGAATAAAATCACGTGCACAGCCAAAAAAAATTAAGTAAGGGAGCTGCCATTATGGCACGGTTCAACGGTAGTAGAAAAATACAAAAGGAGGGAGGGTGCAAAGACGCGAGTTCGATTCGGATGTCAGAGAAAAATGTTGCGACATACGACATACGACATTGTTTATCTGGCAACTTTTCTTGTAGCACGTGGTGTGTCAAGAAGACCGCAGGAGAGTCATCGCACTAGCATGGATGATCGATGGTGTTCCATCGGTGTTCCATGGATCACTATCTACCCTGGGTCATACAACATTGTAGGGAAAATCTGGAAAACATAACCCACACGAGTGGATGCCGATTGTTTTTAGGGACATTTCTGTGAAGTTTGGCACGATGAATATATTTGGTGCATATACACGCATGGGCCACGCAGAGCAATGTATAGAAAACAGAGTATAGTACAAATGAGCACAGTAGAATAGAATTGTGAACGTATTTGCCATTAGTGCAACGAAACTTTGATAAATTGACCTTGACAATAAGAGCCTGGGCCAATGTACGCGATATGTGGAGGAGTAGCAAGTGTAGCAAGTGCAGCAAACAATACAACAACGTAATGATTGACTTCCAGAAGACTATGAACCGGTCAAAACGATTTATGTAGAAGCGGTAGAACTCAAGATCTTGCTGCAATTTACTATAGAACAAAATCTCGTCACGATACGCCACTATAGCCCACCTTGTGGTGCAAAAAAATTTGTAAGATCACCGCAGTGCTTATCGCAAAAAATTGCGTATTCTATTGTATATAAGAATAATAATTTCTCTGGTAGTTTTTTCCACAGCTTATTAGAGTACTAATAGTTAAATGGGTACAGATATACTATCCAAATTAATCAAAATTACTACAGGAGAGAATGAAGGTGGTACAGGAGGCGAATCGCCACAAAATGGGTTGTCTTACCAGTCAATTTCATATTTAACATTTGAAGCTATACTAGAGGTTGTGATCATCTGTTTTGCCGGGTTTGTGGCTGCTAAGAGTGGGATTTTGAATATCCAGGCTCAAAAGGTGATTTCCCAATTGAATGTGGACTTGTTTACACCGTGCTTGGTTTTCACGAAATTGGCTCCTTCGTTATCGTTTGAGAAGATGGTTGATATTCTTATCATACCGATATTCTACGCCGTATCGACCGGAATTTCGTATGGGTGTTCACAGGTGGTTGGGTGGCTGCTCAGCTTAAATGACCCGGAAACAGACTTCATTACGGCCATGGCGGTGTTTGGGAATTCCAATTCGCTTCCGGTTTCGTTGACGTTGTCGTTGGCTACGACATTACCCAACTTACTTTGGGATGACATTGAGGACGATACACCCGACAAGGTTGCATCAAGAGGTATACTATACTTGTTAATATTTCAGCAATTGGGCCAGGTGTTGCGGTGGTCATGGGGTTATAACAAGCTTTTGCGAAAACGGTCGCCGGAAGAGATGAATACATATTCTAAGCCACCTTATAACGACGATCAAGAGGGCAGTATCTACGATGGTGACGAACAGAGACCTTTACTTACCAGTGGTGATATACATGGAGCACATTTTTCCACAATTGATGGTGTTGGTGAAGATTTCACCAGTACCACAGCTGTGAAAAACGATTCGCAGAGCTTGGTATCCAAAACACCTAGAACCGACTCATCTAGCAGTATCCTGACGCATGGCTCTCAGTCATATTCTGTCGATAATGCTTTGACAGAACAAATTGACGACGAAAGCGACACAGATCAAGCATCAACTGACCTTCATAAGAAAAGTGCCCGTATATACCAGTTATGGTACACGTTGAAGAGATTGCCAGTCATCAAGAAATTTTTAGCATTCATGAATCCACCGTTATATGCCATGCTAATTTCGGTTGTTGTGGCATGTGTTCCTGCTTTGCAAAGGGAATTTTTCGTAGACGAGGATTCTTTCATTCATAATACGCTTTCGCAGTCAATACATCTGTTGGGTTCAGTTTCTATTCCCCTTATTTTAATTGTTCTTGGTTCGAATTTATACCCTTCCAAAGACATGCCCCCACCATCGAGACATTACAAGCGTATCGTGATTGGATCATTACTCTCAAGAATGATACTACCTCCGTTTATCTTGTTGCCTATTATTACTCTTTGTGTCAAGTTCTTTAAGATCTCCATTTTGGACGATCCTATATTCTTGATTGTTGCATTTATTTTGACCATTTCGCCTCCAGCCATTCAATTGTCGCAAATCACGCAATTGAACAATATTTACCAGAATGAGATGTCTGGGGTGTTGTTTTGGGGTTACGTTATATTAACGTTACCAACTACCATTTTTATAGTAGTTACAAGTTTAGAGGTATTGAAATGGGCTACTTCATAGTGATTATTTAGTTACTTTATCTAGCAATGTATATTTTTTATCGGATCCATACACCGAGTTTTATCAAAAAGTAAAAAAAAAATAAATTGAGCACTTTGTTAAAAAGCCACTACAGCAATAGAGTTCATTCATCTACATAAATCTATTGAATTAATTATCATCTAAGTTGTTTAATAGCCAGAACTTTCATGGTTTAGACAGTATCTGCATCTTAAATATTGTTGATTAGATTTCATCTTAGAATTCACCTATTAGATTCGTGGAAAGAATAGTCAGTTATCGAAATCAAGCTGAGTATATTTACATTGACATAGAAGTAACGTTTGTGAGAAACAATGGTCAAAGCACGTAAATTAGCAGTGGTAGGATCTCGTTCTGTAGGAAAGTCATCCATGACAGTTAGATATGTGGAAGATCATTTTGTTGAGCTGTATTATCCTACTATCGAGAATCAATTTTCGAAGACTATCAATTACAAGAACCAAGACTATGCCATAGAGATATTGGACACAGCCGGACAGGATGAGTTTTCTATTATGAATGAGAAACACTTAATAGGTATTCATGGATACTTGTTGGTTTACTCTGTAACCTCGAGACAGTCATTTGAATTAATTAAGGTCATCAGGGATAAAATATTGAATTCAATTGGTACCGACCAGATACCAATCGTGTTAATTGGAAATAAGAGTGACTTGAATTATCAGAGACAAGTAGAGACAGAGGAAGGCCAGGCATTAGCAAAAGAATTTGGATACAAATTTTTAGAAACATCTGTCAGAGATGATGTGAATATCGATACTGCTTTTGAGAGTTTAATAGATGCGATTGAAGCCATTCAAAATCCAACTATTAAACAAGATGATAAATGTACCATAATGTAAATTGCTACATTTCTTACTTCTTATTTATACGTTGCAATTTTAGATTCTAGCTATATGATCTTGAGATATTATTGTGTTTAGCACATGTCATAGTTGTTTAATGAAACTTATAAATTTGTACTTAAATAATACTATAATAATAATTATGATGTTTGTTGATTGGATAAAAGCGCGAGGCTTATCTTTCGTTTTTGGAATGCCTAAATGTAAACTCGAACAAGTATTGAATTCTTAGCAGACACGTAGTTCACAAGATCAGACTCTTGTCATATGTAAAATCAATTCAAAAAGATGTATTTGGCGAAGCTTAACAACTTTTATAGGGGTAAAATGTCTGGTATCACCCAGTTCTCTACAACCTGTAATAAAAAACTTCTGTCGCAATATATGCATGGAAGTCAGATCAGTTCAATTCTGTAATAGGCAAGAAAGCACGCTATCAATTCTTGTCGATCGCAGTATGATCACAGCAGTTATTATACATATCTTAATTTTATAATAGTAAACTGAGAGAAGACAAGCTCCTATGGCTTCACAGAGAGACTAGTAATTTGAATATCTTTTTTTTTTTTTTTTTTTTAACAAGGGCCATAATCTGCTATTGGTTTAAGTTTATTAGTTTCTTATTACAGGTC